GCATTCCATCCATGATGGCTTACCATTTACGGGCATATTCGGAGACAGACTTCGCGTCTCATACAATACTGACTGCACGGGATATTGAAGACGAGACACAGACTACTCTGTACGGAAGGGGAAGATTCGTCAACACGTTCGACTTCACGTCACACTTGGCGATGCTTCGCGTCGTCACGTGCCAGACGCGTGAAAGTAGCGGCCAACCGACAATAAGACGAGGAATGCAAGAGAGACAAGATACGACTGAGAGAGGGAAGGAAAATAACAGAGAAGAAGCGAAGAGAAGTGAAGTGGCCTTGGAATGGGAAGGGAAGCAGCAGAGCCGCATCCGCATGGGCATATGTGAATGTGCGGGATGGCCACTGCTCATCGCCTTCGGCCTCTGCCTGGTTCATTCTCTTCTCTTCATCAACGCCCGCACGCTTCGTACAACCTCCTCTTACCCTGCATTCTATTTCCTCGACTGATCCAGACTCTACTGGCTCAGTCGCTACCACTCGATTCTTTCCTCAAGACCTTTTTATGCAACCAGAGCCAACTGCCGTATCTCAAAGTGCGACCCCCGTTGACTCATCCCAAGTCGATCCCAGTTCCACCCAGCATGGACATGACCTCGATGACGCTCAAGTCTCTGACCTTCTCGAGCGAGAGGAGGCCAGAGACTCTGCAGACGTCCCGGGCATGCCGGTTCAAGGTGAACAGCATGCGTCCGTAAATGTCGACGGTCGCCCTGCCCCGCCCCAAGTCGATCGAGTGAGTCAGTATGAGAATGCTGGAACTCCCGGGACTCCCCCTATGCAACAGGATGGCCTTCCATTCCGGGTAGTGGCTTCCACCGGACAGTCGCAAGGTTCTCTTGAGACGTTTCCCAATGGTAGGTTCTTTTCCACTCCGCAGCGCAGTTACCTTCTGACCTTCATCGGCAGAGGTCCTCACCCACATCCTCTCCCACCTCCCTCCACAGTCCTTGTCGGCTATCACCTTGGTGTCTCGTCGATTCCATGCGCTGGTCACAACACCCCACGCCTGGAGGATCGCCTTTTCGCGTTTCTTCCCGGGGCCGCAGGCCGTTGAGGATGATCGGCATGCCACGATCAATGATGCAGACTTGCTGGCGGACCGGCGGTACTTCACAAGGTTGACTGCGCTGGCGTCTTGGCGCAGCGAATACATTCTTCGTACCCGTTTGATGCGATCTTTGTCTCGAGGCAAACCTGCGCAGTTCGAGCCGCCCAAGAGGAACGGTACTGTACGCACTGCGAGTGCTCGCCAGGGGAGCGCGATAGCCACATACACTTCGAATCTGCTATTCCCCGTTAGCCACATCCACGGGTCTTTCAGTTCGGAAAAGGACCCTCACTTCATTCATGCCGCTGCGGAGCAAGGTATTGCATCTGCAAGTGATCCGTCGACCGTTAAAGTCGGCACCTGGGGTGTTTCTGATCATCAGATGTTCCGTCACTTTGCGGACCTATTCCCCGGAGAAGCACAATATGGTCTCGGAGCTGGTGACATGGTTGGTCTGCCCAATGTGATGGATGTCAGCCAGCCATATGGCATGGTCTACGGCGAAGCCTGTCCGCAAGGGCGCAGCTACTTCATTTCAACTACGGAGCAGCGTGGTCGGTTCCTGGTACCTTCCGAATTGGGTTCTCATCCAAAACTCGGAATACCCGCCGTGAACATGATTACTCATGCTGTTTGCTCAGTATGGATTGCCAAATCCTCTAACATTCTCAAGATGACAGAGGGGCTCATTGGAATGATGTCTGGTTCGTCCTCTGGAGTGCTGACAGCGTATTCTTTGGGTCCCCATCCGACTTACGAAAAGCGATATGAACGAGGTCAACCAACTGCTAAGTGGGTTCTAAGTCCTGGTGTGCCTATCATTGCAATTGCCGTTGATGAACAGTGTTCGACCAAGCGCCATTCAGAAAGACGCATTTGGGCTGTTGCTTTAAATGCTTTGGGAGAAGTGTTCCATCTTACTGAACTTCCTCGGCAGCCGGATATCCCTTTTACCGCCAAACTCGATGCTGAGCAACTTGATGAGCTAGCTTGGAAGACTGGCAGAAGTGTGCGCTGGGAATTGGTCGAGGCAAGCAGACGTGTGGCACGCCCAGACCCGTTCAACCGTGAACTAGTCGATGGCAGCTACAGCCCGCGGTCATCATCGGATTCCATGGCCCTCAATGAACATCAGATTGCGGCAGAAACAAAAGAGATTGAAAAGTTTCTTTCGTTCAAACCAAAACACTTCCGCAAGGTCTGTGAAAGCTGGAATATGCAACGCGACCTTCAGGTGGACTTTGCTGGTGGTGACGGTTGTGGGGTGGGCGAGTCGGTTATTGTCATTGTCCGCGGTTCGGGTGAAGACGAACAGGCATCGATCAAGCGATTCACGCGCTCTACTTCAATTCACGATTCGGCCTCACCCACGCCGGAGTCCCGTCCTCTCGCCACCCCGCCGCCGTCACTGTTTGGTGGCCCAACGACCATCTCGACTCCGCCCGTGAGCAGTGTCCCCTCTTCTCGATCTTCCAGCCGGGTGGCCCGATCAGCTACTACAAACTATGAATGGCGCCTGTCAGAGTTTGTCTTCGGTGATCGCAAATCTGTGGGAATCAGTACCACTGCATTGGATACTTCCACCTTCGCGACTATCACGGCGGAAGAGGATCCTCTCCTGGCAATGTCTGGGAGCTCTCACTCGTCTGCGACCTCCTCGCCGATGTTGCCTCACATGGAGCAGCCGCGCTCCAGTCTTGATGTTCCCGGGCAACGCGCTCGATATCTCGCAGTTGGAACCAACAATGGAATGGTCTTTGTCTGGAACATTCGGGCACCAGCAGCGCCGTCTACTGAGGTCATCAATTCCATTTCTCCTCTGCGCATTATCCAAACGGATTCGCCTCAAGTTTCTTGCCTGGCCGTGACGTCTTTGTATTTGGTACACGGCGGCAATGATGGTCTTGTGCAGGCTTGGGATCCTCTCGCGTCTTCCACAAGGCCAATTCGTACTATCAATTCTCGCTTCTCATCCCGCGCCCGTCGTCGTCTAGTGCAAGCTGAGGCCTCTGTCCTAGGTGTTGGCAACAATTTCTACGCCACGGGGGCCATTTGCCTTGATACAGACCCCACTGTGTTGCGTGGAATGGTCTCACTTGGCACGCATTTGCGATACTGGTCATACAGTTCTTCTGCGGCTGATCAGTACAAAACCAGCAAGCGTCGCCTGCGTCGCTTAATGCGTGGCAACAACAGCACTCCTGAAGGTCAACGTTTTAACAACAGTGGTCGGGGCGCAATCCAGGACTATATCGAAGATGAACGTGTGGAAATGGAACGACAGAAGATCGCGGATGAGAAAGAGCGAGCCCACCTAAGTCAACGTTTCGGAGTTGATCTGTTAGGCCCCGATGTTGATGAGGAGCAGCTCTTGATGTATGCCCAACTTTTGAGTCAAGAGGCTTACTCGGGCGACGCCACAAAGAACGAGGAAAATGCAGCAGTTTCTAGCTCGGTCACAAGTGCCTCCTTCCCCGATACTGTTGGTCCCAGTTCCTTTGGCCTCGGCGACATCTCATCCTCTTCATCCCCCTATCAAGATCCCGTGGATGACAATGATGACGATGAGCTGGCCGAGGCAATACGCCTCAGCTTGCTCGAGGAACAGGGTGTTCCTCCGCCCTTCGATCTGACGCCCTCTATTCCCATCAAGTACGCGAAAGGAGTGCAACCATCGCCTGGGGCCCAAGAGGCCGAGGGAAGTAGACAGCAGGAAATGTATGACCTGGAATTTGCCATTCAGCTAAGCTTGGCCGAAGGCAAAAGTCGTGGAGAGGAACAGGAGCGGGAAGAGTTCCCATCCCTCGCACCACCTATGTCGACCTCGCCATCAGGTAAGGGCAAAGGGAAAGCGAGAGTCATTTGGGATTAAGTTAAAGAAATTGTGTCATTTTTGGATTTGTTTGATTTATTGTTTAATTGACAGTGCTCCCTTCCGCGCTTTAATGTCTAGAATATTCTATTGCATTTGCATCAATTTTGTTAAACATTCGAGTATTCTGCATGTTATAGTTACAGGGATCTTCGCATCACCCACTCCCAGATTCCTCCAGGGAACCCAAATCTCACCCTAGTCCCTACATCCCACTTTACCTCGGTCTAAAATCCTTTGATTCCGGTGACATCACACGGAATGCCAGACTCCCGTGATCCCTCGCCAGAGGACGAGCTCTTCCGTGCTGGTCTCCAAGTCCGCCGCGAAGTCCTAGGCGATGACTACGGGAACAAAGCCATCCAGGAGCCAAATGGCTTCACGCAATCTCCCCAAGAGGTTGTAACCAAACTCGCATGGGCATGGTCTGGACAAGGCCCGGCTTGAGTCGATCCATGCTTAACATTGCTCTATTAGGCGCGCTTAATCGGCCCGATGAACTTGCTCTCCGTCTTCGAGGGGCAATCAGAAATGGAGTCACCAAAGCCGAGATCCAGCAGCTTATGCTTCATACATCGATGTATGCTAGTATGCCTACGGCAGTATCGTCGTTCAAAATTGCCGAACGGATTTTAAAAAGATATGGATGACGAGCCAAAGAGGAAATCTAAGATTTGAATGGGTATGATGGGCTTGTTTAAAGCGTATACATACATGTAACCATGGCAGTGTATTGGGGATGTTCTAGATGTTATCTTGCGGAATGTGACTGACCACTCAATGAACCAGACTGAAAAAATTGCAATCCAAGACTGGCAGCTTGGACACAGACACAACTTGTGACTAGAGCAATAGGGAGTACAATAAGATATCCGATTTAATAGGCTCCATATTCCCTTTACCCGAGGTCTGACGACGACGATCTTGCGTGATAGATTGAACCCCATGGGGGAATATCTGGAATAGACCTTGTAACCTCTAACCATGCATAGCATTGAAATCCCCTCGGTTGACATCTGGGATTGTCTCTTCGAGAGGAAGGAAAAGCCTTTCCCACATGGTCATGGTATGTACATATCTCGGTATTTGTTAGGCAACCTAGGGAATGCTGATCCGGGGCAGTTATCTTCAAATCCCTTTCCTTCGGATATTCGCTCTGACGCTCTGAGTTTTAGTGCCAATTTACAGCGCAAACTTGGATGGAAGAAGGGCGAGGTTCTCCCGGTATTTTCGCCGAATCCTATTGATATACCCGCCGTATACTGGGGCTCTCATTGGGCTGGTGGTGTTGTCTCACGTGCCAACCCGATATATACTGCAGAGAAGCTGCAGTACCAGCTCGCTGATAGTGGAACAAAGGTACTGGTTGTTCACTCAGCACTAATAAAGATTGCAACAGCAGCTGTACAAAACGTTGGAATTCTAAAATCGAACGTATGGGTTGTTGACGCCCAACCCGTGGAATCAGGACTGCAGCAGCAACCTCGATCTATTCTTGAGACTAAGGCAGCTGGGAGTATAAGTCCAATGATCGATTCTGTCACAGATACAGCATTCCTGATCTACTCCTCGGGAACAACAGGACCACTCAAGGGTGCAATGGCCACTCATACCGACGTAGTCGCGGACTTACACTGCAAAGACAGGTTCATGGACCATATATGGACTGGAAAAATGACCCCGTTCTTGCAGTGCCGCCAACCTACCATATCTATGGTGTGTCCGTCCTTGCGACAAGGTTGTCTTTTTTGGAAACTAACCAGCCTATAATGCTATACAGGTCTTGCATGCGTCATTCACAACCCCGTCTTCAGAAGTATACCATCGCGGCTTTCGTGCGCGTTGTGTATAATGATTCCATTACGAAGGTTTACGTTGCTCTCCCAGTTGGCCTACATCTGGCCAAAGATCCGGCAATGACACAAGCTTGTCTGTCATCCTTGCGAGTGGTGACATCAGATGGAGCACCGCTTCCCCAGATTTGATTCGTGCGGTATATGATCGACTGAAGATCCCAGTTCGCCAAGCATTTGGATTGACAGAATTGACCTCGGTGAGCCACGTCCAGGTAATACCTTAACAACAAAAGCAACGCAGTTCTAGCAAATCTGTTCAAACAGACATGGGACAAATCGAACCACGCAATGGGGATCCACTGGGCTAACCCCTACCCAAGGTCGAGGTAAAATTCATGAACCAACAAGGAGACGAGCTCCAAGGTGAAGGCGAGCTCTGTCTTCGAGGACCGAAAATCTTCCTAGGATATCGCAATAACGCCGAAGCCACCAAGGAATCAATTACGCTAGATAGATGGTTCATGACTGGTGTTATGGGATATCAAGACGAGGAAGGCAATCTCTACCTTGCGGATCGGCTGAGGGATCTAATAAAATCCAAGGGTTTCCAGACTCCTCTAGCGGAGATGGAAAGTGTCTTGCATGGACATCCTCTGGTTCATGATGTCGCCGTTCTCTGTCAGAAGATTGCATCTGAGGTGCCGGTTGCCTATGTCGTTCTCAATGAAGGGACGGAAGGAAAGCAACAGGTTACAGAGGAGCTGGTTGGGTATGTTGCTACAAAAATGGCTCCTCATAAGAGACTTCGTGGAGGTACAACCTGGATTGATGAAATGCCCAAGGGCTCTTCTCAAGCGTGTTCTGAGACCCCGGGCCGAAGGCGTGGACCGAAAGAAAGCAGCTGGTGCTCTGTTTACGAAGATCGTTCGTCCAAGCCATGATTGAGCATAAGAAGTCATAACGGAATAAACGCGCAATAGAATACATAATGCTATGCTGCCATGCTATGCTAGGAATTCCTTCCAATCTATGCGGGCGGGCTAAAAAAGGGAACAAAGAACAATAGGCACGAATTGTTCCAAAGGGTAGAGGAATCATGTGCAAAGACCAAGTGAATCACAAGAAACCGCAGATGCGAGTGAACAATGGTCAAGAAAGAAGTAAATCCTCGAAGCTTATATCAGCCTCTTGGTCATCTCAGAAGCCAAAAGAGAAAGAAGGAAATTTATGCAACACCATAAAAGCGATTACAGAAGAGAAGCAAGGAGCATGAAGAAGCCACCCATGCCACCGAGGACCATCGAGGGGGAACCGCCGTTGATGGAGGCGGCATTAGTAGAGGTCGAGGTACCCGAAGAGCTGGAGCTGGAGCCGGAGGACGAGCCGGAAGAGCTAGAGCCGGAAGTAGAAGATGGGGTGTTGGCACCGGACTTCACTTCGAACTTGACATCGGAGACCTCCTTGCCGTTGTGGTCGTAGACCTTCTGGGGAATGGTGGTGCTGGAGACTGAGACCAGCTTACCGGTGGGGGCATTGGGCAGACCGTTCTTGATGTAGTCGGAAACCTTGGAGGGCACCTCGGGCAGATCCCAAGCGTTGTAGAAGGACTTGTGGGTGACGAGAGAGGCGCTGCACTCCTCCGCCTTGACGCTGGTCTGGCTAGAGTTGCTGGAGGTGATGCGGTCCATGTCGAGCTGGCCGAGCTGGTTCTGGAAGTTGGCGTAGTCGATGAGCATAGTGATGGTGTCGCTGTCGTTGGCGCTGACCAGACCATACTCGTTGTCCTCCTGGGTCCACTCATAGACAAGACCACCTGAGAAAGCCTGGGTCATCTCCTCGCCGTAGAGAGCCTGGACCTCGGTAAAGACACGGGGCTTGACCTCGTTGCAGCCGTACTCGGAGAAGAAGACGGGGATGGTGGCGTTTGAGAAATCCTCGGTGAGAACGTCGTAGCCGCTGGCCTTGTACGAAGACTTGCCGCACCAGGAGTAAGAGTTGAGACCGAAGAAGTCGGCACGGGAAGAAGTCGAGTTCTTGAGATCACACTCGAAGTAGTGAACGGTGTCCATAAGGATATCACGGATGTCGGCGGCCGAGTAACCAACGGGGATGGCGCGGTCAGAGTTCTTGGCGATGTAGTCCTTCATGTCACGAACAACAGCGCGCATGTACTTGGGAGCACTGTAGGTGGCATCCTCGTTGATGACCTCGTTTCCGGCGAAGAATCCGAGAAGATTGTCGTAGTTCTTGAAGCCCTCGATGATACCGAAGACCTGCTTGTAGTAAATAGCGCTGTAGGTGGTCCAGGGAGCGCTGCGGTCCAGGTAACCACCCTCCAGAGGGTTGCTGACATCGAGGATCATGTAGATACCGGCGGCGTTGAAGATGGAGGCGCATTCGTCGTGGTTCAGGCTGGGCTCGAGGTTGTAGACACGGATAGTGTTAATCTATTAAGACATGAGTTGCTGAGTCGCATACAAGGAACCATATCGACATACACCCAGGCGCTGCATGAGGGCAGCATCGCGCAGACAGATCTTGCCATCGCTGAGAGGGTCGAGCTTCGCAGTGAAGCCGGAGGAACCACCGGGCTGGTAGTCGACACCAATGATCTGGAAGCGATCACCGTTGTCGGAGTTGACGAAGTCCTATCTTGTCAGCTCATGCGTGTACCGATCGCGGGGTATCGCTTACCCTTCCCTTAACCTCAAGAGGCGTAAGAGCCAGCGTAGAGCCTGCGAGGGCCAGGACAGAAGAGAACAACTGAGAGTAAGACTAAATCAAATGTTAGTTGGAGCTCCAAGCGCAATTCATGCCACACGTACAATCATGGTGTTGGGAAGTATAAACGAGGGAACTGCGCCAGGCGCGGGAAGTATAGAAGTAACGAACGTGAAACACCAAAGAGCTTGAAAGAAAAGAGAGGAAATCAGGATGATTAAAAAAGATAATGAACCCAGGAAACCCAGGATCAGCGGTCTCAATTTTGTGGACCCGATAGACTCCCAAGCCACTGAACAATGGAATAGGGGCGCGTTAGGGGTCTTAGGGTCTTGGGGAGACACTTAGGGCGTCTAGCGGGGTTTGTCGCATTTCCAAGTAATTCCAACTTGTTTCAGACTTTGATAACCGCTGATTTAATTTGAATTAATTTACATCATACGTCTGTTCAAGTGCAAGGGTTATCCCTTTTCCTACCGATTTCCCCGTAAAGAAAATTTCAGTCTACCAAATTTGCATGGGACCTGACTGCCCCGCCAAGTGCCAACCATGGACGAACTCGCGGGAATTGCCGCCAAGGCCCTGCCAAGGCACTCTCCTCCGCTGGCCAACGCTGGCCAACGCTGGGCCAAGATGCACTGGCAGAGGAGTCCAATAGCGGAAGTCGTTCCTCACGCCACAGCACTGCCACGGTCTTGGTGTAGGCGGTCGAATTAATTGACTTGTGCTCAGGGGCCAGACTCTCCATAAATATCTTCTTAGCGAGCCCATGTGCTCATTCAAGGCTCTCCTGGGCATAGTCCAAGGTTGATAGAGAGAAACAGACACTGCCAAGTCACCCTGCCAATTTTCCTGGTCCATCACAAGGGGAGAAAGTTGGTCCTGTCTGTCATGCCTTCCCTATGAAGCCAACTATTTCCCACTTGCTCGCGCTTCTCCCCATGCCCCAATTGGCCCGACGATGCGACCTAATACAGACCAACTATCCTAGACAGGAAACTAGGTATATGAGATCCACCACCTGATTAACTAGCTACCTTTTATTCATCCATGTCTCCAGTCTTCTCCCTTTCCTCTCTTGTCTTCCCGTCGTTTAAATTTATGCGTGAAAAATAAACGGATTGGGACACACCTTTTGAGTCCTCTCCTGCAGCCCAAACACATCATGATTTCGACCGCTCTGCCATTCCTGCACCAGGTATCCCGGTCCTCATCATGATGAGCTTGGAATGTTTCAATACCCAATTTATGCCCCAAATTGTATGCCCTATTCTCTGCAGATATGCGCTATATGCCCTTCCAGCCTAGACATGTAATTGGTACTGTCATGTGCCTTCACCTGTATGAGTTTGTCTGCCGTAACTGTTGCGACACGGACGCAGATACATGTCACTCTCGACAAGGGCCGCTATGTTCTGGGCCACAGTTCTTGCTCTGGTTTTGTCGATTCGAGCGCATTGCCCAGAGGCCAGGATGTCTTTGACAATAGAATCTGGATAACAACAGGGACAGGAAATAAAATACCAAGGGGAAAATTATCGAGCAGAGATGGAGAGGAAAGAAGGAGAGACTACGCGAACAAGGTGTTTCTGGACAGATACAGTGGTCTTATTCAATATTCTATATGTTAACGTATGCTCTAGTGCATACAACTTATATTTAAACCCGTGTAGTGTGCTTTGAAATTCGTCTATCTTAAAGACAAATTTCATGGTCATCCATAAGCGCAAATTTGGTATAATGCCGCAGTATATCCAGTGCTGACTTGCCAATATCTCCTAGAATAAACTCGTTGAACTGCTGCTCGGAATCAAACGGACCACCTTTAATTGACGCAATCTGTCTAATTACAGCTTTGCCACGATCAATAGCTCCGATATGGCCACCCTTTAAGTCGCGAAGTTGATTTATGTAGGCGTGAAGCTCGGAGGCGATAGAGAGCTTCTGATCGGAGTCTAAAGTGTCCCATGCTTCATCAAGTCGCTTGCCACGCATATAGTCTATCACGATAGTCACGACTTTTCCATCTTCCCAATGGATATCATAGACTTTGGGCACAGGGATTGTCGTGTTTGTCGCAATGAAAACGAAGTGTTTGGGCATCGTGGGAGCGGAGATTGCCCGATTCACGAGATTGTTGCCAACTCGGATAACCGTGCGACCGCACAACGAATGAAGGGTCGTTCTTTCTTGATCATTCAGTGAGTTCATTTTTAATAAAAGAATGTCGGCATCTTCTGTTGCATATCAGAAATTCCGAAAAGGGAGCAGATCTATGCGGGGTAAAAAGTGAATGAACGGCCGGACGAAGAGTAAGATAGGAGCGCTGATTTTGCATAATGTCATATTTTTATGACTATATTCCTGACAGTGTCTTAAGGTAACAAACAAGGCAGAAAATTAGCTATCCTTTCGAGGATAGAAGGGCTTCACCACCACTGTATGATAAATAGGCCCTTAGAATGGCGTCAAACGTAGCCGCTTTCGGCGCCCAATTACTATCACCTAGCATTGTGGTGTAATTTCATCATACCACAGGCATAGTATAGACAATCTAAATCGTCGGAATTGATAGATTAGGCACGCAGGTAGGAAGATAGCATAACGTTATCATCCTTGTTACTTGGTTAACTTACCCGTTTTATACTATTGTTATAGCTACCGAGGTTTCTTTACAAGATATTTGATCTAACCCGCTTAGTTCTCAGGGAGCATTTCAAATGCATACTGTAAATAGCCTATAGTGTTAGAGTTATTCGGTGCTCACTGTTAGTACATAGAAATTAAGATTGTTGTTGTGTTGATCTCCTATTGAAGTACACTGATTCGATATTCTCTCTATCCCCACCCGATCTCGTCATCGCAGCCCCAATATTGCTCATCTTCTTCACCTTTCTGATCTTTCTATTCGCACGCATAGAATTATGATCTCATTTTGAAATAAACATTTACTCGGCCGACTGGGTCCTAGTGGTTTTCATTGCGCGCAACGGATAGCGGATGGTGTGCTACATGAATCTCTTATACTTTCTCCGCAATGTCTTCTTTCATGGCATTCTTCCACTTTCTTCCCAAAGCTCATTCTGATTCTCAAGGCTGTTATGGCTTCGGTGTCAGAAAAATACGAAGGTGACCCCAACGTCAAGAATGAGGGAAGCCGCTCTCCTCCCTCAAGTGTCGCAGAGGCTGTGGGTATCAATGAAAAAGCATTGCTGCGGAAACTTGACTATCGTCTTCTGCCACCACTCACACTGCTGTATTTGCTTTCTTTTCTAGATCGCAGTAATGTGGGGAATGCGCGACTAGAAGGAATGACAGATGATATCCACATGTGTATGTTATGTACCGTCTCAACCACAATGATAGATTCCTGACCTGGGTGATTTATACAGCAGGAGATCAATACCTCACCGGGTTGACACTCTATTTCATCGGATATGTCCTCTTTGAGCTGCCCTGCAACATCGTCCTGAAGAATACCACCCCGAGACAGTGGCTCCCGACATTGACTCTCATCTGGGGTGTGGTCGCTACACTATTGGGAATTGTACAGAACTACCCAGGGTATCTGTCTTCAAGGTTCTTTCTCGGTGTGGCGGAAAGTGGCCTCTTCCCAGGGGTTGTCTTCTATCTGTCTATGTGGTACAAGCGCAATGAGCAGCATTATCGAGTGGCTCTATTTTTTAGTGCTGCTTCACTAGCAGGTGCTTTTGGTGGTATTCTTGCTTGGGTTGGTCTATCTTATACCTCGATCGAAGACAAAAACTGACCAGCTTTCAGGCAATAGCTCACATGAAGGGTGTTGGCGTGAGTACATGATAGATCATTGTCGCTATGCTACGAGGAGCTAACATAGTATAAAGGGCCTAAATGGATGGCGCTGGATTTTCATCCTGGTACGAGCCCAAATCAGACCATAATATGTTACATACTGATGGTTTTCTCATTTCTTCAGGAAGGATTGTTGACTGTTGTTGTTTCGATCCTCGCCTACTTCTGGGTATACAACTATCCATCCACGGCCGAATTTCTGTCAGAGGAAGAGCGAAAATTTATCCAATTTCGCCTGAAGAATGACAGTGATGCTACTTTTGACGAAAAGTTCACCTGGTCCGCAGTGCTAGATGCAATCAAGGACCCCAAGGTCTGGCTTTATGGGTTAGGGTTCCACACCATGTCTCTTCCCCTATACACACTTTCGCTCTTCTTGGTAAGTATGCCTTCTACTGTACTACGAATTAAGTACTGACTTTTGCTCAGCCAACAATCATCAAGGAGCTAGGGTTCTCCGCCGCAAAGGCTCAACTGCTTTCCGTGCCACCATACGCAGTCGCATTCGTACTCACCATCAGTGTTGCGGTTGCTTCCGAGAAGACTCGCATCCGTGCACCATTCATCATGGGTTCATCTGCTGTCGGCTGTATCGGGTACATCCTCTTGCTGTCACAGCATCGCGCTGGTGTATCTTACCTGGGAACTATATTTGCGGCGGCAGGCATCTACCCGGCTGTCGCCATTGTATTGTCCTGGCCTGCCAACAATGTGTCTGGCCAAACGAAACGATGCATTGCCAATGCCCTGCAGATCTCAATTGGTAACCTAGGAGCGGTTCTTGGAACACAGCTTTATCGGACTGAGACTAGCCCACGATATTTCCTAGGCCATGGTGTGTTAACCGGTAATTTTATGTCCACATATTGACATGTTACTAACTACGTCGTTCCTTCAGGTTTCGCGTTAGGCTATCTTGTAGCAAATATTGTCGTTGTCGGAATCTTATGGTTGGTTCTTCGGCGAGAGAACGCTGAAAAGGAGCGCGTTAGAGAAGCGCAGGGGCTGACACCGTTGATGGGAGATGTTGGTGATGCTGAGGGAGACTTCCAGGGGGACAAGGATCCCCGATGGATATTCCAAACTTGAAACCTAGCCTGTTAGATATCTATGATCGGTCTATAATTGCACGCAATGTTAGTTTCAGGCAGATAGCTAAACCCTGCCAATAGCTTAACGTCCTCCGTTCAACTGTAGATTATCTTGTGAAAAATGAGATCAAAGGAGTGCTTGGTCTGCAAAAGCATCGTGAAGTACATTCCCCGAGGGAATGAAATAGAGCATGTGAATGTCCTCGGCTAACAAGAAAGATTTCGGGTCCAAATGCCATAGTCTTCGTCCTATCTGTCAGTTGATAAAGCGACGTGGGTGCTCTCTAATACATAAATTATGAAATATAACATTGAAAATTCCATAGGTCTTCTAAAATACAAGTTGTTGAGGGGGGATGAACACGAAGATATCTTACTCCACAAGGTCTTCAGCAGCATTCGCACCTGTGCGAGAGGGAGGACCGTCCAAAGCGATAAGCTCGGCGAGAACTTCGAGGGTTTCCTTGGGAACGGTCTATATTGGGCAATTGTCAGTCGGGGTTCTTCTCGCATATTGCAATGGAAAGCCTCAAGGCTGTGGACCCGATAACGCACCTTGTCATAAATTCCAATAAGATCAGCCGGTTGGGGGTAGACCTTCAATGCCTTCCAAAAGGCAACTGCGGCCTCGAGCTTGTTGGAGCCTAGAGGAAGAGAAAGTGTTAACAATTGACCTCAAATATGCGTCATCGAAATAAATCAGAAGTGGGATAACTGAACATACCATCAGCACAGAGTCCCTCGCCCATGGCCACTTGCTGCATGAAGAATGCCTGCGAAAGTGTAAGCTTATAGTTTCAAAATGCGGAACCCGAAAAAGTATACTAACCTCCTTCTCTTCGAGGTCAGTGGGCCACCCATCCTCCTTGGCCTTTGCAAGGGCCTTCTTAATCTCCTCCTTCTGTGCACCCTCTGCGGCAGCTTCTTGCTGCTTCACGACCTTCTCAACAACCTTGTTCTTCTTGTTAAGAGACTTGCGGAAGGTAACGTCGGTGCGGCGGCGGTGATCGAAGTAGACGGCGTAGGCTGTTAGGGGAAAACGGTTAGGAGCAAACTCGAGCTTAGGCGACAGTGGAGCGACTCATACCAACGAGTCCAGTCAAGACTGTGCCGGCAACAATCGCAGTGTTACGGAAGGCCATTTTGAAAGCGCGGGACGGCGGAGAGGGAAGGCAGAGGGATTTCTGCCTAAGTCACGAGTATCTGAGACTTGGGAGTACGGATCGTCTTGACTGAGTCTAAAGGAGAGACTCAACGAAAGCGATGATGAAGTTGGCGTGTTGGATCGCGTCCTTGGCCGATGAAAATGTTTAACCTCCGGGACTATTGATGACTAAGCCCGAAAGTGACCTCACTCCCTTTCCTGCCACATCACTTTATTGACAACACGACGATTCAAGATGGAGGGCCGAGGATTGACCTTGCGAAGTAAATCTCGCCGTCAACGCCCCCAGATCAGTGCTCCAAAGCCTATCTCTGGACCTCTGCCTCCGAATACCAGGTCACCCGAGTCTAGTCAGCCCGAAGTCCCCTCTACTCGAGAGCGGGCACCCCAAAACGATGCGACCTCGGATTTGGTGAAACGGCGGTACTCGACGCGATTCAACAATGTGCCCGACTTCGATGCCGGTGCTCCCCCTGTTCCGGCACTCCCAACACAGGTGCCTGGGGGACTCGGCCTACCTCCGGTAGCTGTCCTGAGACAACCATCCCCAGCCGATCCCAATTCCCCGGTGCCAAAAGTAGACCTCAATGCTCTACGAGACCCCAGTCTTCCAGTTGATCGATGTTAGTTATTGGTTGTCCGTTGCTGGCGCATTGAAGCTAATCATGGACTTTTACCAGATGTTGCCAGCCTTCTCGCCAACGCGTCTGAGGAAGACATCCATAAATACCAAGAAAGCCTACGCAAAGTGAAGAATCGGACATCTACCGACCTACAGCAGAACGTTTACCAGAACCGCACTCAATTCATCAAGATCAGTAAAGAGGCCGAGAAGCTCAAGGACGAAATGCGGACCCTTCGTACCCTCATGGCGGAGCTCACTACAGCGCTGGGACAAACAAGCGTGGGCAACACACCCAATCCGATGTCCCCAGTAGAGGACTCTTTCCCAAAGCGAAATGCCAACCGTAGCTCGGTTGCCAACTTGGAGAGCATGTGGAGCGTGCAGCTCCAGACCCTGTGGAAGACTGTGGAAGGATCGCAGAAGTTCCTACCCGCGGTACCAGGGCGGCATATTGTCCTAGAGACAGGCAACTGGGCTGAGCTGGACTCGGCTACATGGAAACCGAGACGCCCTGTCCACCTTGTGTTATTAAACGACCACCTCCTTGTAGCTGCGAAGAAGCGCAAGCGAGTCGAGCAGAGCAACCCTCACCGTCGCGGGCCTGTTCCAACAAAGCTAGTAGCGGAGGACTGTTGGCCTCTACAGGACATCGACATGATCGATCTAGGAGCTAATTTGGGAACTGGAGCTGCACGCGAAGAAGCTTTGGATCGGGGCATTGGCAATGCCATAACCATTCGAGTTGGATCATCCAAGCCCTTCACATACAGAAATGATAAGCGCGACCCGTCCTTCAAACAGGAATTGCTGGCAACCTTCCGCAAAACCGTCGAGGATCTACGGCGCAACTTGCGATCGGAGACTGAGGCGGCCAGCAAGCCCTTAGAAGCATACGGATACCTCGCTGGCCGACACCTTTCACATTCACAAAAGGCAGAGCCATTCGACCTTTCAGATTCTCCGAGAGATAATTCTGATTTGCGAATTGATGTGGACGGTAAACAACAGAACCTCCGGTGGGTGGAGGGGCAGGTAGATGAGCTTGATATCGATATCGCTCTACAGCGTTTCGAGGCGTCTGTGGCTAGCATCGAACGGCTACGGAAACTGGCCAAGGGATTGAAGGGCAACACTATCGCACAAGAGGTTATCAATGTCAAGGTTGATGAACGAGCAACTCGACTGGGTGGTATTCTCTCGCGGGCGCTTGTGGATAAGCACTCTTTCCCAGCGGCAACCAAAACCCATGTCACTTGGTTGACCCGCTTAGGGTTTGAAGATCAGGCACGCGAGACTTATTTGAAAGCCCGTTCGGACGTCATTGCCCAACGCATCCGGTATGTTATGTTTCAGCTTAAAACTTGCTTGATATGCTAACTCTTTTGACAGAGCTTGCATCTTTGAGGGTGATCTTCCTCTTTACATCTTCCAGATCTCCTATGTCTACTTCACTCTTATCAAAAATACCATTGGCATTTACCAGCAATGCTTCCCCAGCGTCATGAGCAGTTCTTGTATCCGATGGGCTAAGCATCACCTCGACGGATTCAACGCTCTGCTCAGCCGACAGCTCAGCAGCGTGCAGCGGGGCACCTCTGTCTGGCAGAAGTGCCTCGACATTGTTCATGAGCATGCTGCTCTTTTGATGGAAGTTGGTGTGGATTTTACGGACTTGGTTGCTCGCGGGTTGGAGGAGAATGGCGAGGGTTCGCCTGACGGGCCACGCACCGTTCAGCCGGGAGAGCTAGCACCGGCTCCCTCTCCAGCGACCATGATCTAGACTATAGTAGGACATTAAATAGCGAATTAACGACGTGTTTTGAACAATGATCAGAGCATGTGTGGTATCTTGAACGCAAGGCTCTGATGTCAACGATTGGGGGCCAAGCCGTAGAACCCGGAGATAAGATCTATCCCCGAGGGCATCTGTATAACTCCTCGCGCCGCAACAATTCCTAATCATTCCTATATCAACGATGAAGGTGATTCTCACAGGCTCAACGGGCTTTGTCGGCCGCGAAGTCCTATCCCAATGTCTACAGCATCCCGCAATCACCTCCATCGTAGCGCTAAGCCGGCGTAACTTGCCAGCACACGAGAAGCTCCAAGTTGCGATCGTTGAAGATTTTCTTACCTATTCCGAGTCAGTCCGAGAGGAAATCAAGGATGCCGATGCATGCATTTGGTATGGTGGCCGCTCTATCGAGAATCCATCTCATGGCACCAGGTTAACTGTTTTTCCCTTGTTACAGGACATTGGGCAAGGCTCGCATGCCCGATAATGACACTGCTCAACGCGTGAGTCTGGATTACACACTAACCGCAGCCCGAGTCTTCCAAGAGACCTGCCAGACACCATTTCGTTTCATATACTGTAGCGGCGCTGCAGCTGAGAGAGATCAGACCAAGCCGCTGTGGTTCATGCAGGATTACCGACGCATCCGGGTAACAAGCACTCTATTTTGGGGAGGTGAATGGGCTAACAGTTAATAGGGTCAAGTCGAGAATGAAATCTTGGAATTCGCTCGTGATTACACCGGTTTCGAGGCGCATATCATGCGACCTGCTATGGTGTTGGCTCGTGATATGAGCCTGAGAAGTCTTGCGTTTAGTCTTGGGCCGTCAGTCAAGGTTGATGACCTTGCCCGGACTATGTTGGATTTGGCATTGATCGGTGGGCAGAAGAATATATGGGAAAATGCCGATATGAAACAGAGGTATGATAGCTAAAGAGGCTCGAGGCGGACCCAATGCGGTATAAGTAGACAACAACATGCTACCTTACTCTGGTTATGCTACCTGAAGCTGTGTATATGCTCGTGTTTCTTGTATTCGATCTTTATACATCTTTATACTTCTTAGTATTCGCCAAGCTTTGGCCAAGATCGAGCAATCGTAGTTCGATATAAATGATTTCAAGGCGCCTCACCTATGGTTTTGAGCATATTCTGGATGAAACGGCTTAAGAGTTATTTCCTTAATCATTTAACCGATGTATGTTCATATCTTCATTTGCAGTCATTCACTCCGATCCCACCGAATAAGCCGGAAATTACTCCACATCGGCAGTTCTCCGCACCGGCTAAATGTTGTAAGGGGGTCAGATTCTCGTCCTTCTTCGTCCTCCTCTACAATTCCACACAATCTTCGCACTCTTTCGCTCTTTCACAGATATCAAACAATACACATCTCTTCTCTCCCCATGCCGATCCCTACCTTGCCCCTCTTCGCCGCGGCGGCGCAGCATGCGCGGGACAACCCCAACAAAATCGCGGTCGTCGACGCCGCAAAACAAGAGTCCTTCACATTTGTCCAACTGCTAGCCGACGCTGCAGCATTAAGGAAGCGCATAATTGAACAATTGGCGCTGACCGAGGATTTGGACGAGCGGCGCATTGCATTCTTGGTCCCCAATGGATACGACTATGTGGTTACGCAATGGGCCGTGTGGGCAGCAGGAGGTGTCTGTGTTCCTCTATGTGAGTACTGAAGCTGGCCTGATACAACGATCTGGCTGACTGTTTCGATTAGGCACAAGTCACCCGGTGAAGGAGCTGTTATATACAGTGGGTGATTCGGACCCCTCGTTGATTATTGTTCACCCACATTTCGAAAAGATGGCGCCTGCACTACGCGAGGGATGCACCACTGAGATCCCATTCATGGGCCTTGAGCCATTCAGCCGTAATGAGGCACCGACTCTGCCATCCTTCTCTCCACCTTTTGCCCTCACCCGGCGCGCTCTGATGATCTATACATCCGGAACCACCTCAAACCCGAAGGGTTGCGTCACCACCCATGAGAATATCACTTTCCAGGCAAGCTGCCTGGTCAAGGCATGGAGATATAGTCCTTCAGATCGTCTCATTCATGTACTACCGCTCCACCACGTCCATGGTATCATCAATGGTCTAGCAGCCAGTTTCTTGAGTGGTACCACTGTCGAGATGCATCCAAAGTTCGACCCGAAAGTGATCTGGGAGCGGTGGCAGGAGGGTGGTTCGACTATGTTCATGGCAGTTCCGACCATCTATTCCCGTCTGAATGATTATTTTGACGCTCATATCCGCGATACTGAACAGGAAGATGCCGCGCGGGCCGGTGCGCGTGCTCTGCGACTTGTTGTTAGCGGATCTGCAGCCCTTCCCACCCCTATCAAATCGAAATTCGCCGAGATAACCGGCCAGACGTTGCTGGAGCGATATGGAATGACCGAGATTGGGATGGCGCTCAGCTGTGGGCTCGAGGTTGAAAAACGGGTTGATGGCAGTGTTGGCTGGCCCTTGCCGGGAGTCGAAGTCCGATTGACCGAGAAAGAGACAGGCAGGACGGTCGACGGTGTGGATGAGGACGGTATGATTGAGATCAAGGGTGGAAATGTTTTCCGTGAGTACTGGCGGAAGCCCGAGGCGACTTCCTCGGAGTTCACAGCCGATCGCTGGTTCAAGACTGGCGACGTGGCCAGGCGGGATTTAACTGGCGCATACTTCATTCAAGGCCGTGCTTCTGTCGACCTGATCAAATCTGGCGGGTACAAAATCTCAGCATTGGAAGTCGAGCGCAAGATGCTCGCCTTGGATGCAATCCAGGAAGTGGCAGTCGTTGGGCTTGCGGATCAAGAATGGGGCCAGCGAGTCGCAGCCGTCGTCAAGTTCCGCGAAGGAGTAAGTGGAAATGACCTCGGAAATAAAGGACTTGGTTAACTAATAAGAATACAGGCTGTGCCTCTCGAGCTTCCCGCCCTCCGTGCGAGCCTGAAGAATGAGATGGCCCCTTATAAGATCCCCACAGTCCTGAAGGTCGTGGATGGGATTGAGCGCAATGCTATGGGAAAGGTCAACAAGAAAGTCATTGTGCAAAAGTACTGGCCAGACAAGGCATGAATCATGAACGAATGAGAGATGAGTGACGATCCTGTGGATTGGACTGGTTAATTATACATTAGCGAAGACACGTTTATAGAGCACTACGCACTTTACATTGAACGTAAATGAGATGAATCCCTCGTGTTTATGACTAAAGGACATGAAGATCCGAGGATTATATATCTTATCTAGTAACAAAGGCTACCATTCCAAGATGTGTGTTTTCTAGTACTCTATTTAAAATCGAGCACACTGTTTCACCTTTAAGACATCCATGTCTCTTCACGCAGAAGTGGCATTCATGAACTGAGTGGAATTCCAATCGGACGCAAACTAGTAAAAGGGTCAATCGTCTTCGATAGAATAGTGAAGAGCAATCTGGGAGACTTACATTCCAAGCATCAATCCGCAACAAGCTTATATTTCTGTTAGTTGGCAGATTCGATGTCAGAATGCCAATAGCTGGATTTGACTACGTTAGAAAAAGGTATGGCCATTTATTCTCCACATGAAACTCACCAACAACATTGTTCAGCCAATAATACTTGGGACTCCCGGTCTCAAAGATAATACGCAGATGCAAGTGACCATCAGGCGCCTTAGGGCCAGCAGTTTGGAGGAAGATGTCGGCACCATCATCAGTACGGAAGTTATACCGAGTATCAGCGGAAAAGACATTGGTCTGGGGATCAACGAGGCCCCAATCAGCTCCTACGTCGAGAATCTTGCCTATAAAGAATTGTCTCGTATTAACCCACCATTGATATCGATGATATAGATTGGAATCTGGTTCGTACCCGAAAGATGAGGGCCGCTAAAATTCCCACCAACAATAGGAATTGACTTGCGAATGCCATGGGGTCCAACAGAGGTATCCATGAGATTAGGATCACACTCTACAAATGCCGTGTAAAGAAATGAAAGCTTGGGAGCAACAGGGACAGGGATGGTAGCAATGCTGGTAGGTAGCCATGAAAAACATGTAGCTAGTGCAAGCATGCTAGTAGCCCATCCTTGGGTAGAGACAGAGTGCCACATTCTGAGCAATGCTGTAATAAATTTAATTTCTCAATGCTTGAATCACTTGAAAAATAAATCGACTACACTGGAACAGAGGCAACATTTGTATAGCCAGCAATACTTCGGATAATCCGAACTATTTGCCGAACCCCCGCCCTTTCCAAGCCATGTTACGTCGGTGATCTGCAGGAAAATAGTCAAGCCTGCTTGATTCCCCAGAGAAACTAACAGGGATCTGAGTGATGTTGTGGGGCTTGAGATTGTACCTAGGCAGAGCTGTTTACTTGCCGTTCTCTCCGCCCGAGAGTCGGCGATCTGACCAAGTCCTCCTACTAGTAGTCCCAGTACATTTAAAATCACCTTCAATGTGGAATTAGACCTATTAAATAATGAATGGAAGGTATACAGAGGCCTATACTTCAAGGTTCGAGTGTTCACACCCTAGTCAACGTAGTCAAATAAGGGCCTATAGGTCTTACTATAGCTAAAGGGGAAGCCTTTAAAAGAGGCTAGTAGGGTAGCGCGGTATACAAACGGTGAATTAAGAATTCCCTTAATATATTCCTATCGTAGTTAATCTCGATATTCGAGACGTACTATGTCTTACCTTTAGTATACTTATAGTGAGGAAATAAAGGTATTTTATCAGCAGGTGCGGACAAGTGCTTTGAATTGTCTATTAACGCATCTAGTGTGGAGAGGACAGCATATATTAAAATCCGGGGTACTAGAGCGTTGGATTTATAAACATATCGTAACGATATATCTAACATTATAAAAGATCAACCCTAGCGATAATACCGCCGGTGGCTGTAGCATTGGCACCAATGGTAGCGTTCAGTGTCCCCGCGGAAGAAACATACAGGCTGTTCATGTCCAACAGGGTTCGGCCAAACGACACAGCTGATGCTGATGCCAGAGCAGCAGACTCCATAACAACTCGTGCACTTCTTGCGGAAATGTCCACTTCAATCAGAGAGCTCTGCCCATTCATGGCAATCCATGCAAATTTCCCATCTGCGGAAACCGCAAAGTCATCACCACGGACACCCTCAGCGATAATTTCAACAGGACCGGTAGGGATACCAGTGGATAAAGAGATAGGATATCGGCCAAAGATGCCCTTGTTGAGGCTGGTAAAGTACAGATGCGAACCTTGAACATGAAGCCCATTCACTGCGACTTGTAAACCCTCGGGGGTCTTTTTGAGGACCTCATCATCGATGACAACTTGAAAAGAGCCGGTGTGCGTGTCTAGCTTGAAGATGCGCCCGGCCTGAGAGTCGGCAATGAGGAGTGATCTTGTATCATGGTCTGAAATGCGACACATGCCATTCAGCAACTGCGCACTGGTGATGTTGGCCACGAGTGAAAGTCGCTCTGTCGACTCAGTGAGAGAACTGCGACCACGCATATCGAGTCTCCAAACAGCGTTTGAGCCTGGAACTCCTGAGACAGAGCTCATGTTTGCGCTGACCACATAAAATATATCCTGTTCTAATTCTGCGATACCAAGCAGTGCCGTTGTCCGGGGTATATCAATGACACTGGCGATGTGGTTTTTTTGCAGTGGATCAACATGGTATAGTGTTGGGGAGACGGTAGATGTCAACAAGAGTTGGCCATTGTGTCTGGTTGCAATGTTTTCGAATGTATGAGGCTGGGGGAATGAGCCAATTACTGTAAGAGGGTAGGCAGTCGGTGCATGCAAGGCGGCATGCCAGGGCAGGGCGAGAGAGAGTTGGAAGAAAGCGAAAAGCCACAGCATTTTAGAGTAGTTTGGATAATCCTTGTCACTGATCCTGAGATTCAGGTCGTTTTAAGCACATGTAGATGCATGAATTT